GAGGTGCCCCTGCCTGTGGCAGGGGGGTTGGAATCAGATGATCTCTGAGTCCCTTCCAACCCAAACCATTCTGGGATTCTGTTTCCCAAGGACTGATGCTATGGCTCGGCCAAGGAAAAGCAATAGCAGCTGGGGAGGGACAGGGAGCATCCAGCAGCCCCGGGCTAATGCTGTCCCTCACTCTCCGTCCGCAGAGCACTTGTGACCCCATGCCAAATCATTCGGAAACCATCAGCCACACTGTGAACGTGCCGCTGCAGGCCACCCTGGGAACGCTCGAGGAGATCGCCTGCTGACACCGTCCGACTGCTCCACAGTGCCAACACCCAAGGAAGGAAAACTGCACAGGAAAGCAGGGACCGAGCTCAGGTTTGCAACAGGGGCAAAAAAAAAAAATAAAAAAAATAAAAAAAATTTTAAAAAGGAAGAAAATCGCTATGCATTTAAAAAAAATAAAAATATATATATATTATATATATACTCTGCCAAAACCAAGCGAGAGGCGCCTTGGACTTGACTTGTGTTGTCCTTTCCTGTGGGGGGGTTGTCTTCAAGATGTGAAGGCAGCAGCTCATTTTTGAACTGTACAAAACCAAGAGACCACCACCACCACCACCACCACCACCAAAACCGAAGCCCTCCCATTTCGCAAACTGCCAAATGTACAAAGCACTTGCATGCCGGGTCTTTTTACGGCACCCTATTCCGATCTGTCTTTATAAGCTCTGTTCCTCTTTGCAGTCTCTGATTTTCACTACCAGAAGGAACTCGCGGGCCCAGCCATCCCCCGAAATCACCATTACTAACGTCGTAGGCTGAATTAGAATAAAGAAACAAAAAGTCGCAGCTCTTGGATTCTTCTTCCGTTCTTGTCCTTCGTGTCAGTCTGTGATGACTCTTAAGCTAAAGCCGGGTCCCCCGAGGCCGGGCCGCCGCCGGCGCTCCTCAACGCTACCAGTCACCCCGAGGTGAGCATTCCTGGAGAGGGGCTGGACCGGCTCTCGGTGGATCGTGTGTCCCCCCCGGCTGCTGTGTCGTGCTCCTCCATCTGCAGTGCCTGGATAGTCCATGTGGTGGGTGGGCACGGGGCGGTGGGTTTCTTTGTTACCTTTTTTCTTTTTTTTTAATTTTTTTTTTTTTAATTATTACTATTTTTTTCCCATTAATGGATTCTGTGCTTTCTCCTCGTTCTCATGACTGATATTAAAGCTGGTCTTGTGGAAATGGCCGGGCTGTGTCATTTCTGCCTTGTCCCCTCCCCATCCCAAGCTGGAGCCCCCGGAGCAGCCTCAGCACAGCATGAGGGGCAGACACCAGGACGAGCCCATCCCAAGGGCTGCCTGGGGCTGTTCCTCATCCCTTGTCCCCCCTTTACCACTTCCACCACATCCTCACACACCTTCTGATGGGCTGGGCACAATGCCCTGGCCGTGCTCAGCTACGTCCCTGTCTGCTCCATGGTGGTGAGGCCAGCTCCGACATTGTGCACCATGATCATCTCTTGGAGTTTCATTTATTAGCGACCAAGAGTTTAACTGGAACTGGGTGAAAATGATGCTGTTAACCCCAATAAAGAGAGAGGGCAAGTTTCCTGGACCTCCAAAGCCTGCTGGTTTTGTAGCCTGGAGGAACAAGAGCAGGATGCGCACTGTGTGTGTGTTTGCACCTTTGCTGGCTGATGGCCAGTGACCATCGTCAATGTGGTGGCCACAGTGGGGGCAATCACAGCAGGACTGTGAAAAGTTATTTTGGGAAAGCTGGTGAAGTCCCAGACCCTGGGAGGGCATTAAAACCAGCCACGGGGAGTGGAGGTCAGTCTGGATTTACCCACGGGAGGTGTGTTGGGGTCTATAGCTGGCTGAGGGACTGAGGACATCGTTTTGCCCTGGAGAAGGTGCAAATCTGTCCTCCAAGCCTGTCTCGAGTGCCTGTGTTCATGCACAAAACCACTTTCCTTTGGGACAAATCCTGCTCTCCACAGCATGGTGCAAATGGCTTCCAGTCTGTCACTTGTTCTGGAGTAGACTGTCTCCCAAGGCAGAGCAAGCAGCCAGCCAAAGGTGCCCAAGGTGGGTCTGTCCTGGGCCACCTAAGTCAACAAGAGCTTCCCTGTGCTTGGACAGAAGTCCCAGCTGGGCAGATGCACAGGCAATCGCTCAGGAAAGGCAGGTCCTGTCTCTGCAAAGCCCAAATTGTGTCTCCCCATCCCATGCCACCAGCCTCAGCCCCACTGTCCCCACCACGCCGGCAGCAGAACCTTGGAGTGATGCTCTGAGCAGGGCGGAGGGCTGGGCTGCAGTCCTGCCCCTTGTTCTTGCCGCAGCAATGGGCTCTTCCCACGCAGCGAGCTCCGTGCCTTGGAGCTGTTGTGTGTCCTTCCTCTGGCTGGAACCATTGTGGCTCCTCTCACCGCCTTTGGCGTGGCTTTGGCTGGTTGCACGGTGAGCAGAGCCTTGCTGAAGCCAGAGCAAGGGGCAGGACTGCAGCCCAGCCCTGCTCACCGTCCACCAAGGGCAGGCTGAAGCCCTACTCTTCCCTTGTCCTGTACTTGCTCACCAAACCCAAGAAGCTATTTGGAGGGTGACCCACCTGTTCAGACACGGCACAAGCCATCCAAAGCTGCCCCAGAACCAAAGGTTGGAGTCCATCCCAAGCTCAGGCTCCCAAGCAGTGCCCATGACCTCCCCAAGCCCACAGGACATGGTTCTTGGCTTTTCCTCCAGCAGCTGGGTTGGAGGTCTTCTCTGGCTGCTGCAAAGCTGTTCCCTGCTCAGCAGTGTCCTCCTTAATTAAAGATGAGCTGTGGCACCCAGGAGCTGCGTTACCATGTCCCGCAGGCTGTTGACCAGCCATCTCCTCCTTGGCTTGCTCTACAGCAGCAGGTGGTCTACAGCCCTTCAACATTTTTCTCCCTTAGACAAAAATAGAACCAGAAAAGGTCCCAGCAAAATACTTGGTTTGTGGGCTCGAACACACCCAAAAAAACCTTCACCAAGCAAGGAGGCAGGCAGAGCCCTTTTGAGGAGCAGCAGACAGGTTTCAATCCAATCCTCTCCAGGCTGGCAGAGAAGTGCTTAGAGGCTGTGTGCTCAGGTGTGTGCCCTCGAAAGGGTTACGGGTGACAGTGGCTCCAAGAGTCATTTCCATGCATATAAATTTCTCCACTTGGCAGCTTATTAAATCTCCATTAAGAGCTTTTGGTAGAGTCATTGGAAGTCTTTGCTGAAGCTCGATGAGGTGGAACACCATGGGGATGCCCAGAGGTGCCGTGAAGAGTTTTGCTAATACCACCTATAGAGGAAAGCCACTTGAACGGGGGAGTTGGCACGGGGATGGTGTCTCTGAGTATTCCTGAAGAGCACGTCCTCCCAGGGACTTGCTGAAGAGCTCATTTTGTGTTACCAGTTTTCATTATCTCCTGAGACCTGGATGCTGGCCACACATTCACTATCCACATGATGCCCAACAGCCCATCAGCTGGTAACAAGTGCTCATCGAGAGCAAAGCTGTGGAGCTGCCAAGCTCTGTCTCCCATTGCCAAAGCCCTGTGCCAGCCTGGTCCCTTCCGGACCAGTGGAGGGAATTCTTGCCAGGCCTGGCTCAAGGTGACTCATTGTGACATCTCTAGGCTCTTAGCCATGCCCATGATGGCTGGTTGAACCCAGCCTGATCTGGGCTTCTCGAGTGAACTGGTCTTTCTGTCCCTTATGCTCATTAACAGCTGGGAAGGGAGTTGGCCCTCTGTCCGTGGAGGACCTTTGCACTGCATTTCTTTGTGCTTGAAGGAGCAGGAGTGTCTCCACCTTTGGGTAGGAGTCCAAGGGGGAACATGGGACTTCATAGGATCCAGCCCCGCAAATGCAAAGGCAACTCACTGACGGTGTAGGTATCAAAAGGGGACGAGGGATGAGCAGTGGGACGCTGCGGCCAGTGCCCGGATAAGCTGGTACCATTTGACATCTAAGTCTGGAGGAGATGCCACCAGACTGGACAAATTTAGAAACTTCAGCTCCCGGGCTATTTTGCTAAATATCTGGAGCAGTCCTTTACTAAAAGAGATATTTGAATAATGAGCATGTGTCTCAACCCAAAAAAGACCTGAGGGATCACCACCAAACTGCATTACATCAGCACAGCTGGGCCAGCAGCAGCAGCATAGTGGGTAGATGGAAGGACAGACACTGCCCCACGCTGAAGGCACGCTGACCCAGCAGCCCACTGGCAAAGCTCCTGGCTGCCTCATGTCCTTTGGCCCTGTGAATTCAGCATGCATCACCCCCTCGCCCATCTCACAGCCAGAGCTGGGGTGTTACCATGCTTTAGGAGACTGCTGTAGCTGCAAACACGCTGCTCTGGCTCGATGCTGGCCCGGCTGCCCCAGAACACC